ACAGTTTTTTGTTGCTGCTTAGTTCAAATTAGCTGTTTTCATAAATGCAAAAAAAATATAGTGCTGCACCCTGTTGGTAAATCTTATAACTTTGTAATGCTTTTCCATATCATAGAACCAACTTTTTTAGTTGAAACAGCTGACTAAATTCTTTAATTCCCTTTAAATATGAATACTCATAAGGTTAACATGGGGAATTACAGAGCCACTGGGGCGGAGCCCGAAAGGATTTTTGAGATGAGAATATGCCTATATGTTAATCGGGAATGTAAGCTATCATCATGCCAAATTTCAGCCCAATCCGTCCAGTGGTTTATGCGTGATTGAACTTCAAACAAACAAACAAACAAACAAACAAACAAACAAACACACAAACTTTCACATTTATAATATTAGTAAGATAAGATGAGTTTTAGGTAAAAAAATATTTATTTTCTATTTCAATCATACCTATATTAGAAGAGCCTGTATTGCTGGAAATGTCCGTGAATTGCTTGTCTATTTCATGATTTTATGTGCAGTATCATATTGTTAAGCATGATGCCTATTTTATATTATTGATTTTACAACTAAAAATAATATTTTGGTGTGATCAAATAAAAAGCTTTATAAGATTTATACTGAAACTTTTAATTGGTTCAGACTGATAAAATAGGAGGATATATTTAGACCTACAAATAGGCCTAGTCTAGGCATATTAGGAAAGTTAGCGGAAAGTTTAGGTACAGTCCTAGTAATCACGTTTCTTTAGGTTTTTTGGGTCGCTGAACACGAATATGAGGTTTGCTGACAGATATTATGCCCGGAACATTGTTTATTTTGTGAAAAACCTTAAAATTTAGGCACTTTTTTAGGTTTTTGGGCTAAATCTTGGTAATTATGGGGTTTTTATAAAGACACTGCTTTGTAAAATTAAAGAAGACAAAATTTACTACAAGTTTCATGCATAATATTTGTTTCTACGGCAAACCGTTACGCCACTAGTTCACGCTAAAAATGGCCAGAAGTATCAAAAAAATGAAATAAACTCTAACTGTTTTACATTAGGTTTCCATGGAAACAACCCATGTTACGATAATTTTAACTATTTATTCATGATGATGAACTGAAACACACTTGATAAATCTGCGTCAAGATTTATGACTGACTGACAGGAACATTTCCCGTTCCAACGTAAACCCCATTTATTTTCCCTCAGCACAGGGATGTTGCTGACCACAAGGTTGACTGCTTTAGTGCTTGAGAAAAAAGGATGAAATACATTGAAAGAGTTGTAGATAACCTTCACTTTGGTAACGTCAAATTCAGACAAGCAGACTGAGTCCAGCTACTTGTCATAATGAACAACGCGATGAAAGTAGAGAATTCTTACCCATAAACCCCACCACATTGTTTCAACGTATCAGCGTCGATAATACGTATAAGAATTACGTATCAGAATTCTGATAAAGAAGGAAAGAACTAGAACACTTATTGTCATACAACCTGGGTTGTTTGATAATAACGGTTTGCGCAAAGGAACCAAATCAAATCTTTATAGGCAACCCTAAAGCACTTGTCTCCATTGAAAACAAACACTTCCATGGTCATGCACAGTAGGCTACCTTATTGATGGTGGGTTCCTACAACACAAAAGTGTATGGCCAGAACATCAACCTTTCTCTAAAATATGTAACAGATACATTGACAACATTATAACCAAATATAGGGCTCAGACAAGTTGTTTTTGGCGGCTACCCTGAACACCCGCAAGGTGGAACAAAAAGTTCCAAACGATTAAAAGAGCAATAAAAACTACTTCTGCAGACATTCTCTTTGATGCAACTATGACCCCAACCACAACGAAAGAAAAAATCTCCTAGCCAACCCTAATAACAAGGAAAGACTAATTCCATGATAACAAGTAAGATGACCTCTTGCATCTTGGAACAACATCTGAAGATGAGGACACATTGATAGTGACAGAAGCGCTGTCATTGCCTAGCACTAATGAGAACGTTGTCGTTGTTTGAGAGGATGTTGACTTATTGATTATTTTAATCAGTTTGTGAAAGGAAAAAAGTTTTCTTCTTGAAGCCAGGAAAGTGAAAAATTTAATCGATAACATACTCTCCACTCCTTGCTGTAAAGAACAAAACTGTAGCCGAGAATATTCAAAGATAAACTTGGTCCTGAGTCTCTTACCCTTGAGGAAGCCTTAGAAGCAAATGAAGATGCTTTTTGTTTCCTCTTGGGCCCACAAAAAAGGATGGATGGAATGCCAACCTTCAACCCGAAGAGAGTGAATTACTTGATCCTCAAACCAACCTATTGCTATTCATGAGGTTATTACCACTATTAAAAAACTGTTTGTCACCATTTTCCCAAATTTAATCTTAAAAGACGGATATTTCTTTCAGGTGGAGGCTTGTGGTCAGTGGACAAACTATTTTCTTTAGTTTTAAGTGTGTTTCAGTTTATTATGATGAATAAATAGTTTAAATTAACGTAACAACAACCTAATGTAAAACGGCAGCATTGACACATTTGTTTTAAGTTTTGGTATATCTGGCCTTTTTTAGTGTGCTCTAGTGGCGTAACGGTTCGTCATAGAAACAAATATTATAAAGGAAACTTGTAGTAAATTTTGCCTTCTTTAATTTTCCTAAGCAGGGTCTTCTCAAAAACCCATAATTACCGAGATTTAGCCCAAAAACCTAAAAATGTGCCCAAATTTTAAGGTTTTTCACAAAATAAACAACGTTTCGGGCATAATATCTGTCAGCAAACCTCATATTCGTGTTCAGCGACCCAAAAAACATAAAGAAAAGGTCTGATTAGGACTGTACCTAAACTTTCCGCTAACTGCCCCTAATATACCTAATATGCCTAGCCTAAGACTATAAGACCTACTATTTATTAACAATTTTCATAAAAGACTGGTTACAGAGAGTGTACATAATAAGTAACATTAAATTACAGCTTATGGGAATCTAAGATATATTAAGATATATTATTAGCATGTTTCTTTAAAAAACCTTTTTCTCAGCTTGTGTGCATCGCAGGGAAAATCTACGCATACTGTTAGAAATATATTTTCCTGTAGATGTGCAGAACCCCTTTATAAATTAAAATAGGCTAAAAAATAAGCACAACAAATTAATTTAAAATTAATAAACAATAACATGGGCCTAATGGGTTGCCATGCTGGTTATGAAATAACAACGTAATAAACAGAAAATCAAATCTGGAAGAAATTCCATTCCATTACTTCCAATCATGTTTTATTTACAGTGTGGGGTGAAAATAGAGAAGTCTGTACATCACATATTTTAAGTAAAGTTTTCGACCACTGGACGTCCTCTAGTATTGTATGATAACTACAATACAAAGTGTGAGGGTGTAACTTCACACTTGCAATTTTTGATCAATTAAATTTAATAAATAATATTGCGTCTATAGCTATTCCATTTCCATTCATATTAATGGATTCTGTATAAACAAATTGGAAAGAACTTTATTGTTAGGCAAGCCAAAGATGGTTACAAATTAATTAATTGAGAGTTTCCTGTTATTAATTAAACAGAAGTGTGTTATGCCAATTTTGGACCTATACTAAGCTAGGCGACTACTAGGAGTTACTGTACGCGAGAGTAAAGAAGTCACTTGAGCCAGAGCGATACGCAGCTATGTTTGGAGGGTATCGCACACTATTTGCAGGCGCTAAGCATCTGAGTGCCTCGCCTCGATGTCTGTCTGTAAACAACTGTTGTAAACATAATTACTCATATCTTTGTTTTGGTAAGTGGATTATCATCATGTGGTCACGTCATTTGATTCAGTGCAGTCTCGTATGATTGCGTATTGGAGTTCTGTTTTGTTTTGGACAGTCCTTGCAGCTATGGATTTATCAAAATGTGGTGCTACTATATATATAGTGGAGAGAGGGATTTAATTAGACGGGTGATCGAGTGTTGTGACAATGAATGTAAAGACAAAAAGTGATCAGTGCCGATAGAAAAGGCAACAGAACGTGCCTCAAACTAGTGTAAAATGTCATAAAAAACTATTAAACAAATTAGAAAAACCTGCAAACAAACTCCGTATGTAGAACTCTGTACACTCAGGGATAAACGCAAGAAGGCTGATAATTATTTATAGACCCACTTTCACTCGTGTTTTGAACGTTACTTTTCAGAAAATTTAAACAGTTGATAAAGCAATACCAAATATTTGTTTGTTTACGTCAGCAAAATCTAAAAAAGATAGTTAACATTCTTTTGCCGTAGTAAATAAAGTAACGATGGATTTTCGCAGGTGATAAACATGGAACGAAAACATGTTATTTCACAGTAGTGTAGCGAAAAAAAACTATTATCTGTTTTGAGAGAAAGGATTAATTTTAAATGGATCAAATGGGCACTTCGGCGTCTTTTCAAAGATATGGGGTTAAAGTGGAAGAAATGCGATTCCAAAAGAAAATGTTTGATTGAAAGGCCTTATTATTAATTGGAGGGTTAAGTATTTGCGAGAGATGAGGAAGCTAAGGGAACAAAATAAGAAAATTTTCTATCTGGACGAAACTTGGATGGACAATAATTTAACGTTCCAGAAATGTTGGCAAAGTGTAGACATCGATGGTGTGTTACCTGATATGAATGCGTCATACTGCGTGAAGAGTGAAGACGGCTCTAATTGTCCCGCGAAACGTTCAAGCGTAACGCCTTCAAACTACGAATAGGCCGGAGCTCAGGGGACTTCTTTACTCTCGCGGACAATACTTCTCTTGACCACAAACTATACCAGAAAATAAATTTTACCGGTTATTGAAATATTGTTGTTTGAAGAACAACTATTTAAACAATAATAGTTAGGTTTATATGTTTTATCAAAAATCTTTTTAACCATGGTATGGTTTCTAACTATGGGTTGCTCTTTTTTAGATCCGGCAAACATATAATAACTGAATATCTAAAAGAAGCATTATAATTTGAAATGCATACATGTATGAATGAACTCACCTAAGCTCCTCAACAGTGAACTTATGTTTGGACTTGTATTGAATATGCCGTAAAACAAGTGCATTATACTTTTCTCCAAGAAGCATGAGCTGAGAACGAATGCTGTCGTTTTCAGACTGGAAAAATGTAACAAATAATTAATTAATAAAACTATTGACAGGAAAACTTTTAGTAAAAAATAAATGGCTATTATGTTGGAAATAACAAAGTCTTTAGAGATGGAAAAGCAATAAAGGCTTTTGAACCCAAATTTCAATACAAGATAATGTGGGTTTGGTGGTTTTTCTTATATAGAGGGTCAGGGTTATAAGTAGACTATGGGATTGCAACACAGCTGTAACACAGCTTATTGTGCACCCTCATTCACAGGTTCTCATTTTCCGTCAAATCCCAGGTCCTTAGTGAACCATGAGATCCAGGGATTTGGTATGATATCTCGCAACTTTGCTACCGATAAACATCAAATTTTGTTAAAGCCAAAATTATTTATTTAGAGGCCTCCTCTAAAAATGTGGACTATTTCTCCTTAGAGACACCTCTTAGTGTTTTGGAATCGTACAGATTGACTTTTTTTCGCTTCAAGATGGCTGAACACAAACTTGTCACATGATTGTTGCCCTAGTTAATATGCATATTTAGTTATTCATATCTATCAAATCTTACCAAATCGCTGTCCTCTATCTGCCTAGTTGAACTGTGAGTCTAAATGTGTCTGGTGTTGCCCTTTTATTGTGGATAAAAAATTGCCTAGAAATATTTCTCGACTAACCTAAAAGACTAATAAACCTGTAAATCTTCTTGTCTGCCAATAGAAAAGTGTCTCTCAATTCCACAGTTCCCCTGTCACAGTCTTCGCTATTCCGCCTGTCCCTGGTCTCATCTTGTCAAAAACAATTAACCACAACCTACAACAGCCAGGCTACGGGGAAAAACTCTGTCGCAAATCTACAGCCTTTATGATATCTTCATACTACAATCCACAACAGCACTATATTAGAATAAACCCCTGATGGTGAATCGAGTAGCCATCAACAACTGAATTGATTATTGATTGTCCCCCGAATCGTCATATATAATCTTCGTCTAGAGCAAACAATCTACAAACGACAGCAGCTACCTCTGGCGACGACTGATGGTATTGAGACCATTAAAAATTAATTAAAAAATGTGTCCGCCAAAATTAACGAACATGACAGTCTTACCATCGTTGAGGCTGAGCTGGCAAATCTTAAAGATACACACTCTGCAACTGAGTCACACTATTGAAGAAACTTTGTCCGAGCTCAAGGATCGTCAAAGACGCAGCAAGAACGTCATCGTCCTCAAACTCAAAGAGGCTACAAAAGATGCAAATGGTAATATAGCAAAATCCCACAACGCAAATCTAATTCAGAGTCTTTTGCTAAGCACTAAATACGATACTCCTCTATCCAAGATTCATCACACCAGGTTAGGCAAAAGGGCGAATGTTAAACCCCGCCCTCTTTTGATTTCTATGCCATCAGAACATGAAGCCATTCACATTTTTAAGAACTTACAAATCGATACCCTCCCTGAAGATTTTTGAGGAATTAATGTCTCTCATGACCGCACTATACGTGAAAGGAAGTACTTAGAATATCTTCGCTCCTCATTAAAAGCACGGCAAGAAGCTGGAGAAGCTAATCTGACAATAAGATTTGTAAATGGCTCATCATGCATTGTTCAAAAAAACTAAGTTCGGGTGAGGTTCATTTGTCCAAGTTTTCAACTGTCCGAGTTTGTTAAAAATTACAAAATATTAGAAAAATCAGCTATCCGAGTTTTCAACTGTCCGAGTATGGTTTAAATAATAATAATATTTGGTTAAATCATCTATCCGATCTTTCATTTGTCCGAGTTTTTAAATTATTAAAAAAAATATTGAAATATCAAGTGTCCAAGTTTTCAACTGTCCGAGTAGCGTCAACATCAAAAGTGACACCGCGCGCAGTGACTTGCATGTCTCAGAAGCCGATGTAAACCTCTTCTGCCAAGAAGTTGGGCAAACGTCAACTTAAGAAACGTTATAAAATTAACTTTATAATTTTTTTAATTATAAAATTATTTTTCATCATAATACTAATTTTTACAATTATTTATTATAAAATTTAACTGTTATCACCTAACCAAACTTGCTGATAATATAAATATTTTGCTTAGAATTAGATTACTTCTTAACCCATTTGCATTGGATGACGTACTAGTACATCAAGTCGGTGATGTACGGTATCACGGCTGACGTACTGGTACGTCAGCCATGAAAATTGAAAATTAGATTTTTTGTAAAATGAACCATTTATACTTACATACATATAATATTTAAATTTGTTCATCAAAATATTATGTTCCTTGAATGATTTCATATTTACGTAATACAGGCAGCTATTTAACTATTTTTATGAAAAGTATGAAAAATAGAGTAAACGTGTCCTAAATACTTATACAAATACATATAAAATACATAATTTTGTATACATTATATGTTTTATATTATTTTCAGCTATAAAATACTATTAAACAATATAAAAAATAGTCTAATATTTTTTTTAAGTAGGTATATGCACCTATTTTTTTTAGAAATATATAAAATAGTGTAAACACATCCTAATCCTAAATGCATATGAATATACATACAAAATTCAAAATAATATAAAAATTTAAATTTTATTATTATTTTCAGCTATAAAATACTTTAAATCCTAAAAAAAAAATAGTCAAATATACATTTTTTATTTTTAATGTTTCAGTGATACTGGGATTTTTAGTAAATAAATAAGACGGTACAAATGTATAATAATAAGAGGCGTTTATAATTTGTATAATTTCTATTTTTAATTTATTGGTAAACTTTCATTAGATTTTTATTAGCGAATTTCCCATATAGGGAATAAGCTATTACCTTAGTACTCATGGTAAGACCTGGACCCGGGACCGAATTACTTTTAGCGAATTTCCCTATAGGGAAGTAGCTATTACCGTAGGTGGCACGGTAAGACCTAGACCCGGGACCGATTTACTTTTTCATTTTGATGTCCCCAGAGGCCAAAAACACCATTCGTTCAAATTTGTATATATATATATACGTCCGTGAACGCGATAACTTGAGTAATTTTTGTCCGATTTTGATTAAATTTGGTTTAAAGGTGTAAAGCGGGATAAACTTGAATGAGTTCGCGAACCAGCACGATCGGACCATGGGAACGGGGCTTTACGGGGGGTTTTATGGGGTAAAAATTGGTTTTTCTCACTTTTGACCCTCAAAACACAAAATTTCCCGATTTCTCTTTAGACCTTTTTAAAGAGCTTAAAAAAACAAATTTTTTAGTATATAAAAGTATTTTTGTTCGATTATTAGTAACGGAGAAAATTAAAAAAATTGTAAATTTAAAATTCCCATGTTATTCTTATGGAGAATATAGTCAAATGTTGTAGTTTGCTTGTTTATGGATATATTTTGATCAAACTTGGCAAATTTATTTATTTTGTACTAAGCTATCAATATTTTACTCAAAAACACACTTTATTAGTTTCCTTGTAGCAGCAAACCTAGGTACTCGTTAAACCTAATGTTATTAAAATATATTTAACTGAAAATCAATTCAGACAAATGGAAATTCGCTTAGTCGGCAGGTTTGCTGCGGCGGGGGTATTTTGTTTTGAGGTCCCTAGAGGCCAAAAACACCATCTGTTCAAATTCATATGTATATATATATATATATATATATACATATATATTTATATTAGATTATATATTTATAAACATTTATATTATATTATATATTTGTATATGTACTGTATATATGTGTCCGTTAGCGCGATAACTCGAGCAAAGATGATCCGATTTTGATGAAATTTGCTACAAACGTGTAAACCTACATTTATTCGAACGAGTTCACGAACCAGCATGATCGGACTACGGGAACAGGGGTTTAAGGGGGGTTTTATGGGGTAAAAATAGGTTTTTCCCATTTTCACCCTAAAAAAACAAAATTTCACAATTTCTTTCTCCTAACCTAACCATTTTGTAGAGCTTAAAAAAACAAATAATTTAGTATATTGAAGCGTTATTATGCGCCTAATGGTTACGGATAAAATTACAAAAAATCGTAAATTTAAAATTCCCATGTTATTCTTATGGAGAATAATAAACTGTTGTAGTTTGCTTGTTTATGAACATATTTTGGTCTAATTTAGAAAATACATTAATTTCTTACTTAACTACAGTATTAAAAATTTACAACAAAAACACTTTTTTACCCTCCCTGTTGCAGCGAACCTAAGTACTCGTTAAACTAATTTTATTTAAATAGAGAATAAATGTGATATTTTTAAGGAGACATTTTAGTGTAAATCCAATCAGGCAAATGGAAGTTCGCTAAGTCTGCAGGTTTGCTGCGGCGGGGGTATTTATCTTATATTTTTTTATATTATCAGCAAGTTTGGTTGGTTGTGCTAAAATTTCATAATTAAAAATTGTAGCCTAAATTTAGTCTTAAAATAAAAAAATCTATATACAGTATATAATACGTGAAGCCGTTTTTTGTTAACGTAACTCCTCCCTTATTTGTAGACCAATTTTAACGTTTAAGGTGTCAAAAGATTCGTTTTAATATGTAGTTTTGCAATAAGGTTTTAGAATTTTTAAATTCCTTCCCTTAAGGGCGACCCTCTCAAAGGTCGGGGTTTCCCCATAAGAAATACATAGAACAAATTTAAAAACAAAAAACAGCTGTTTATAAAAAGAAACTCATTAGCTTTTTGGAAGTAAATATTAATGTTTGTAATTTATTTATTTATTTCTTTTATTACAATGCTGCAAAACAGGATAAACCCAGTTACATTGTAGCATTAATATTCTAACAACAAAATCTTGACATGCATTATAAATAATAAATATGGTAAAAGTTCATCTTGCTGAATAAATTATAATTTTTAGTGTAATCACTCACAACAATACAATATATGACAAAAACGAACTAATAGCAATAAATAACGTACAAATAAATATCTTAAAAAATAACATTGGCAATTATTTAAATATCTATAACAACAATAACAAATTAAATAAATAAAATACAACAACAAAGTCTGAACA